TACTTTCCAAGACAAAAACAACTGTTTAGGTTATTTCATGTATATTATCAAAAATTGCTCGAAAATGAACTTCATCGGCAGTTTATGTGGAAGAGGGTAAATTTGAGAAATGAAAAATTCCAATGTTATATCCCACCAGTCTGATTCAAAAATTAAATCTTAAAGACATAAATACTACATTTCCATCAAGTCATGGTTGCACCAACTTCATGGTGCGTACATGCCATGGACTGTAACAGAATATTAGAAAAAGAATAACATATTTAGCATATATTCATGGTACAAAATTACTTGGTTTAAATTACTGATGAACCTTAACATGGTCATCTTCAGTATCTGGATCCTAGTGCTCATATTGTTAAAACCTAAGAACTTGGCACTGTATTAAAGTTCTAGAGCCTAAATACGCAGTCTTAGTACTAGAACCTGGGCAAAGATTTGTAGATGTTTAAAATACTGTAAAAACATAAGTAGAAGTTTATTAAAGGAAACCCCCAAAAAAAAAATTGAAATTGATCAATGCATCTCTTACCGGCCGTGAACTGAAAAGTGAAGGGTAGTTCATTCCACCAAAGTGGGATGATATGGAAGTTTCAACTGATCCCGTTGATTCTGGGGAAGATGTCCCAGATGACCTCCCATCATCCTCCTACAATCCAAATGAATACAATTAGTGACAACCTTCTCAATGTAAAAATGAACGCACCAGCTCTATTGCATGCAATGCCAACTCAGTCAGGAACACATACCTCTAGCTCAGAAGTCTCTAAAAGAGTCTTTGCCCACAGATCATCATAACTAACTGAAGGCCTAGAGATTATGTTTTCTTCATCAACATCAGGAGCATCGGTTCCGGCACCAGCAAGAAATTCATTAACCTAACAGGAAGTAGAGGTGAAATAATCATCCATTTGAAATGGATCAAGAGTAGCAAATGAATGGTGCATACAAGTTAAATACAAAATTTAACGACAATAGTCCAAAATCTACTTTCTTAAATCAATAAGTAACAACTCTGCAAACTATTACAAGAAATCAAGACTGGAAACAAATTGAGGAAGCCATTCTTTGAACTATAGAACAAACAGCCAGCCTGTGTCGGGGATCAAAGCAGAAGGCATCTGCCCCAACCATGTAACAATATAATATCTAACTAAAGACTAGATGACTCTATATTTTCAGCAGAAGAAAGGATAAATTGTGCGTTTCTATTAAACAGTTACATCCATTCACCAATTAGTATGTGATGGAGAAGCCAAGCTCTAAGTACCATGAATAAGCTCATCCAAGCACCGCATAATCTAGTCTTTGCACCTTTTGTGTAATTAATGCAATTTAGACGTGGATTTCAGGCCTATTGTTTTGGAGGCTTATGTCGTAGAGTCTTTCTATGCCTCATGATCAATGTCTTAGATGTCCTAAACTATGTCGGTTAGAATTCCCACGCATATTATTCTTTCCATTATTAACAGACCAAAAGCTCCTACATTACAAAATTATTTAAAAACTTCATATCTTTAGGTTTAAATAATTCAATAATATACTATAAGTTGTGATTATTTAATGATAGATGCCTTCTCATTTACAGATTTAAAGAAAATAAAGGATCATTCACTTAGTTGTCGGGTACTTACAAGACATTTTCACAAACAAGTTGATGTAGAACAGCCCATAGGTATTAGATTAAACACTTAAACGATAGAATAGAGAAGAATATTGGAGGTTGAGGAGACGAAAATATAGATCGAGAGGACGAAAGAAAGGACCGAAATCAGAGAACCGCGAAGGACAGAAATCACATAGTTTTAAGAGAAGATTTACTCAATATCCGAATCTGAATTTTAAAGAGCGACAAGGGGGTATTTATTGCAAACTAAAACCTAGAAATAATAGGGTAAAAATCCCTTGCTTAAACAGAAATCCTAACCCAAATAAAATAGGAAACTTAAAACTAGAAATCTGGAAAAGTAGAAATCCTACTAGAAATTGGAAAACTAGAGAATCCAGGAAACTAACAAATACATTAGGAAACTAATAAATTTAGGTCCTACACATCCTGCATCACAAGTCCAGCTGAATTATGGGTTTAAAGATGAGTGCAACTACCAGAAAACATAAACTTTGGACTATATGATAAACAAGGGTAGAAACTTATAATCTCTCAAATCTGAATTACAAATACTATTAATTGTCAAATTCAGCATGTGTATAGACAAAAAAGGGCTATCTAGAAAAGGTGATCAAGCCTGATTGTCTAGCAATCAAACAAAAAAGGACTTGCAAGAAATGGCCCAGATCCCTGAATAGCCCAAAGTCATAACTCTCCAAGTACAATAAAAGACATAAATTCAGAAAATTCTACAAATACCCTCACTCAAACTCCTAAAAGTTAGATTATAAGATACAACATGGGAAAGAACTTACAGTAATATGTTTATAGAACTCTCAATCGGAATTATATAATTACTGTTAATTTTCAAATTCAGCTTTAGTATAGAAACATAAGAGGGTAACATGTTCATAAATGTCTAAATATCAGTCAGGACTAAATGTATTTTAAAATAACAGGGTGATAGTGTTCTGTTTTTAGATTCATACTTCTATAAACAAACCAAAAGTTAAACTTTAATGTTAAATCAATTAAACTTGTTACCCTGCTCATTGCCGGTGCATTATTTCCTAGCAGTCCATCATCACCAAGGTTTGCTGCCCAAGCATTTACAAGGTCATCATCAAGCATGTCAGACTCTTCAGCTGCTGGTTTAGATTCATAAATAAGATCAGAAATTCCAGTAGCAACAGCTGGATCACTCAGACCGGTTGATGCACTAATATTGTGCCGTGTGCGGTAGATGTCGATCAGTTTTGCACTGTCATAAGATTATGAAGGGGAACTAAATAAGAAATGCAGAGAAAAAAAAAGGGGGGTAAAACCCATGTTAACAAGAAATCTCACTTGAAGTTCAACTGGAAATAGAGTTCTAGTATGTATGAATCATCTCATAATATTTTAGACCAACGATGTTGACATAGTCAATCCTTCATTAATATGATTTGTAGGCAGAAATTAGTTGTAAATTACCCCCTTACTATTGAATCATGCTCATAATAAACAGGACATCCTTCAAATGGTTAGAAGGAATACTAAACTTTCTTCTGTATTCACCTCATAAAAATATTGATAATTAGTTTAATTTTTTTCTGATATTTCCACCAATATTTCCTCCGAAATTTGGACCACAATTATTTCCACTGACATCGCAATTTTCAACCTTGGTTATTTGGCATGTCAGTTAGACACAAGAAGAAAGGGCATGGGAGAAATGGGAAGAACAAATGCTCAATAAATGTGCATTGAAATTGTGCGAAGAATGAAAGACATTATAAAATTAACACTGCTTAGTGAATAGATAACACATTTGAGGAATTCTGCTTCTACCTATATAACAGAGACAGAAAACTAAAGTCAACCATATCTGGGTAAAGCATTCTTACAAAAGGCAGACACCAATATTTCCTCCGAAATTTGGACCACAATTATTTCCACTGACATCGCAATTTTCAACCTTGGTTATTTGGCATGTCAGTTAGACACAAGAAGAAAGGGCATGGGAGAAATGGGAAGAACAAATGCTCAATAAATGTGCATTGAAATTGTGCGAAGAATGAAAGACATTATAAAATTAACACTGCTTAGTGAATAGATAACACATTTGAGGAATTCTGCTTCTACCTATATAACAGAGACAGAAAACTAAAGTCAACCATATCTGGGTAAAGCATTCTTACAAAAGGCAGACACCAATATTTCCTCCGAAATTTGGACCACAATTATTTCCACTGACATCGCAATTTTCAACCTTGGTTATTTGGCATGTCAGTTAGACACAAGAAGAAAGGGCATGGGAGAAATGGGAAGAACAAATGCTCAATAAATGTGCATTGAAATTGTGCGAAGAATGAAAGACATTATAAAATTAACACTGCTTAGTGAATAGATAACACATTTGAGGAATTCTGCTTCTACCTATATAACAGAGACAGAAAACTAAAGTCAACCATATCTGGGTAAAGCATTCTTACAAAAGGCAGACATTTGCTAAAGGAACTGAAAATTGCATCTCCACATTTCATAACAAATTATTACACACACCAAAAAAATCACCCCTCTTATTCTCTCAAATACAACACCTAGGCTATGGCAGTGTAAACGAATCTGTACCTTATTGGCCCCAAAGGCAGATACTTTGCTCTTGGGACGTAACAGAACAGCGAAACAAGATCAAGCAACCGTTCATGAGCTCCGTATAGTTTCTTAAGTTCTTCATCTGTCCATTCCTTATTAGCATTGTCATGGTTGCGTATTTCCCTGTCCGTAAAGCAAACTAACGTGAATAACTAAAAAAATATGACACATTTCAAGAAAATTTTGTATCACTTACTTGATCAAATCATCTTGTGCTCTATACATTTCATCAAGAACCTCTATCATGGGATTTATTAGAACTCCAAGGCCTGTGCCACTAGCTCCTTGATCTTCCCCATTACTGAGATGCATCTCAGAAAACTGAGACTGCACTCCCCCCTGTGCTAACGTGTGTAAAAATTCATAGATCTGTAGCCTAAAAGGTTCACCAGACCTTATTGCCATAGTTGTAAGAGCTTGAGCGGCAATAATACGAACCTGGAGAACCCAACGGAACGAACAACATATAAGAGGAACAAACAAGTAGAGGGTGAGTTCACAGTTAACAAATTTGTGTGTTCATGTGTATGGATTCCCATAGTTTCTGGGCGAAAAGCCATTGCCCTTTCCCAAATAAGTAGAGGGTGAGTTCACATGTCAACAAATTTGTTTGTACAGAAAAACAAGTGTGAAAGAACCAAAAATATGGTATAAGGAAGAAAAAGATTCTATGCAAAATTGATTAATTGAAGCTTCATAGTCCTAGAACCTCCAACAGGAAAGGTATAACAATGTTCTAACTACCATTACCATTGTCCCAATGCTTTAGAAATCATCCCTCAATAGATCATTACAACCCTTAACATTGGGAGACCTATGCTAGTAAAGGCAGGTTGGCTAAAACTAGTACTTAATTAACCTTTTTATCGTTCTAAGATAGAGGCAATAAACTTGTGTTGATATGATAAATGGCTGATACTGAGGTGGAAGCTAATACCTCCCAGCTGCCACTAAACGCGCATCTTTGCAGCCTAGTCAGTGCACCAGCTAGAGTAGGATTACGAGAGCTGGCAGCAGCAACCATTTTATCTGTATCTAGCATCATCAATGCAGTACCAGGAGGGGTTGCGGATTCCCAGGCATACTCAGAAGCAGCATAGTTTGCATTCTCTCCAAGAAACCATACCTAACAGTACATTTATTCATCAATAAATAAAATAAATTAGGTTACTTGATGGATAAATTGGAAGAGGAACAAATAAAGCATCTACTGATTATAAAGATGCTTACTGCCGCTTGTACTAATCTCTGCAATGCCAAAGCTGACTTTGGATCAGATGCAGATACCCTGTCCACAGATGTAAGGCCCAACATTGACCCAGGCTGTGGTGGCGGTAAATCAAGAACTATGGTAACCGCTTCTAAGGCAGTGTGTTTCCCATCAGGACCAGCTCCAACGAGACATGTCTGGAATTGGAACGGTTATAATAACCAATTGAATCAAACAATCACTAATATAATTTCACCATAAAAATAAAGAAAGAAATCATCACATTCAGGTTAACGATATGAAAAACACATCACAAAGTTTCAGTTCCAAGTCGGTTTTTTTCTTCTTTAGACAAGAAAGGAACTTTTATTAACACAAATCAAATGTTCTAAATGGTGGACAAGGATTCAATCATAAAGTACACACTACAACAAACAGAGCAGCACTTGAGACATAAAGTTTAGAAGAAACATAATTTTATTAAGAACAAATCTGTACGAAGCAGAAGTCCAACTTAACACCCGCAAAATCTGGTAAACTACCCGGAAAAAAACACTACAAAGAAACAATACAGGGTAACCTAATTGAAAATAACGCACAGCCGACTTCTAATGCAAATAAATATCAGAAAAATAATGGTCCTTATATTGTGACCGTGTGCTGGAATAACCCAACTCACTTTACCTCTCTTAACAAGTACAGCCACAAATTTAATGTTAGTGGGCAATGTAGGAGTACATGATCCGCACTTTCCCTAAGGCTCATTGTTAAAGTTGCAGTATTCTAATGTTAGAACTGTAAGATACATGCTTTACATATTTCATAACTGCACTGGTATCCTATATCCTCTAGCTCATTTTGGTTGGATAATGTTACCATGTCATCATAACTGACCCAAGCCTATAAAAGTAACAGTAAAACAAAGTGAAAAAGAAAAAAAGTAAGAAAAGCATATCATGATAATTGACTAACCGTGTACAAAGCAGCAGTGGAAAAACATACAGAAATAAATTACTTTCCATGAAACACCGACTTTACTAAAATAAATGCAAGGAAAATATACAGTGGAAAAGACATACAGAACTACATTTTAAGTAGATAAGAACTGCCTGTAGTGAGGATTGAAGGAAATTACCTTCCACAGTAGTTGTAATACATCAGCATCAATCTTCCCAGGAGCTTTAGTTGCAAAGATCCTGGCGATTTGAAGAAGAGTGACAGCCATATCTGGGGTCGCCTAATAACACATATTAAAAGCTTATTTAGACTTAATAAATGGCAAGTGCCCCACTAAAGAAATTAAAGAAAACCCTTATATTGGAATAGAGTTAGTTTAGATAGCCTTGTGCACCATTGATTTCACTACCAGAAAGATAAGTTAGACAGGGTATGATTAATTCCTGCTCCCAACCTCCCATCCAATTACTAGTGCTCCACTACTTCTATACTCAACGCCTAATAGAACAAAATATACTCTAAAATGTGAAATCCAACAGACAGTTGACAACCTACAATTTCAACTGGCTTCAATACTTTGATAATGTCATCACTGGCAGGTCATGTTTTTTCCTTTCCTCCAATCTTGATTCATTATTGTCCTTTAGCACTATACTACCATTCAATTTATTCTTCAATTGAACAATGCAATTGTAGATTTCAATCGTCTTACCCTTTGACATACCAATGTTACCTGGTACCAGGAACGATACAATACATGGAATGGGAATGGGTACGAGGCTTGCTAGTTACTATGGTACAGATTAGTTGGGTGTAGACATAGTACGGTATTTCAGGTTGCAATTCGTCCAGGACTTTAATTCGGGTCCTTGTTAATTATTACAATTTTTTTTATGTAATAGATGCTTTATATTATAAAATCAAAAATAGCATCCATTCCCATGATTATTCATTGAATTCTGACATATCAATGCATAATCAATTTTCCATAGTAATGAATACTTCAAATTATAAGCAGCGGGAAATAAGATAGTGAAGTTAGTTAAAATTGCTCATGTAAAAATACAAATGCGTACCATAAATTAAAGTCAGAATTTGGTCATGCAGGGCTTCATTTTCACATGATTTTTTTTTTTTTTTTTTTTGAGAAGAAACGAAATTTATTAAGCAAAAGAACACGGAGGTGGATAAGGCAACCACAACTGAAGAACAACAACAACACAAAAAGAAACAAACAACACCAACCCCTCCCAAACTAACAGGGAGGAACAAAGCTTCTTTAGGGATCCCTCATTAGCTGTCATTGGATGTGCGAAATTGTTTTGTGGATGGTGTTTTGTATTTCTATTGTCAGTTGGTGGATAGCTTCGACTGCATCTTTGTACTGTGTTTGAAGTTCATTAATACAAGTTGGTATACATATATATAAAGATTTCTACACATATGCACTTCCAAACAAATGCCACGCCATGAGTTACTTTTTTGTCCACACATACCTTAAAACGAGCATGCAATGTGAGTAAAATATCATTCAATAGTGTGGCTGGCCAAGCTGGATCAGAAAGCTCTGATGCAATAATAGATTCTAGTTGATCAAACGAATCATGGGGACTTTGCATCCAGATCAGCGCCTTAATTACCATTGCTCGAACATAAACACACTCACACGCCACAGTTGTCCGCACAACTTCCATCAATGAAGCTAACAAACTAGCAATTGTATCCTTGCCACCTACTCCAGTAGATAAAGAAGAAGTTCTTCGGATACCTATGTGAAAAGAAAATGTGGTGGGAAGGGAAAACAAGGAACAGAATAAGATCACAATCCACTTTACTACTTTCACTCCTTTGAAATTATATAAAAGCACAATCCTATTAAAATATGAAAGCAAACAATAAAATCCACCGTACTGGTTTCACTACTCTCACTCCTTTGAAAATTTATAAAAGCACATGCCTCACTCATCACTCCACAAAGAAACCACTTATTGCTTTTCCATATAAAACAACCTTTCAACTTACTAAACAATTAGGGTCTTCTTTTTTATATCAAACTCAGAATCAATAAAATTTAAAATAAAAAAAATGATAAGGTAGGAGGAATAGAAGTCCAGTGCAGTTACTGCAGAACTCGCAGCCTGTTTTTTTCTTGACAGGAAACGTATTCTCACTGATAAAAAAAATAGCGGTGCAATATAGGGGACAAGTTGTAAAATTCACAGCATACTCTTTATCAATTAATGACAATTTTACAAGCACTTTAATGATGCCCTATGCTTCTATGGTACCTATTACCCAATTAATGAAACATTTCCAGTGACTAGCCTGTATAGCTACATTAATCAACTAAACACCACATACATATCTCAGAAGGCCATTCAATTTTTTTGGCAGCCTAGAATCGAAATCATCAGAATATGATCAAGGATCTTCTAAACCATTACATGAAAGATCCTATGGAAGACATGGAGCAGTAACTAAAAGGTTACAACAGATCATGTAAAAAGATTTAAAAAACAAAAACAAAAAAAGGTAGAATAATTACTTTCGGGATGTGAGGTTTCACTACTATCCAAATCCTGTGAATCGAGAGTCTCAGAAAATGTATTGACATGCACTGTTTCATCAATATCCTGTATGCCTAGAGAAAATGCAGCAGCCCGACTTTTCCCCATCTCTTGCACAACTCTTGCTGCTGCATGGAGTACTGGCCTAGAGAAACTACGGAAAGAACTCTCCAACCTGAATAAACCAGGATGCATGGAATCAATAGAAGATGATTTAAATCAGTTTAAAAAGAGAGTCATTGAAGACTCCTACATATGAAAAGATGCTCAACCTCCCAACATTATTTCAGATGCTTCTAATACCAAAACAAGAGAGCGAGAAAGATAGACAAACAGACAGACGCCCAAGGGGGGAGGGAGGGGGGGAACACAGAGAGAGAGATCCTTAAACCTTCTCATTACAAGTTTAATAAGGGGTTGTGGACGCCTTGTCTTCTGAGCTTTATCTTTGGAGGAATCCTTAACAGAAGGTGCTTCTGGCAACTTGAGAATCTCCCTAGTTAATCGGTACCATCCAGCAGCTCGCTCTTCAGTCCTACATTATAAAATGGTAAAGAAAAAAAATTAGAAATAAATCAATTTAAGAAAGAAAAAAAATTTATATCAGGGTGAATAAGTAGGTGGGTACAACACCAGTTATGCAACAATCTACCATCCAATTATAACCTTGTGATATGGAAAAAGGGATGAAATTGAAATATAAAAGTAAGGTTTAAGAGACACCTCTCTGCACTATCGTGTTTCCCCAATATACATAGGATTGCCTCAAAACAGACTCTTTCGCTGGGATCCAGTAGGAGTTGATAAAGCACAGAATTGAACTGAGATCGAATATCAGCTCTTTCTGTAGACATAAAATTTTCAAGAAACAACAAACATAAATCATACAACTTAAAGGGAAACAAATACATTAAATAAAGAAAGAAAAGTGAAGAATTCATCATATATAGATACCATCCAAGGCTCGTGCTCTAGAAATTGTATAGCACAACCTCGCTAGAGCAACTCTAGCAAGAACATCATGTAAATGGAGGACATCCTGCAAAGCCCCTGATATATAGAACAAAGCAAGGTACTAAAAATGAAGTAAGAATAATTGATTAAGCATATTAGGTTAATAAACTAATGTTTATGAAAATAAAAAATATTTAAAAAATAAAAAATAAAAAATAAAAACTTTCTAGATAAATGAGCAACCTAAAATGGCATCAAACCAGATAAGACCAGAAATCTCACAAAATTCATTGTAAGAACATATCTCGGAACATAACAAGTCTTTTATTTCTTCATTTTCATACAAGTACAAAAGGATAAACAATTTATTAAAGTGTAAAGTATAAACATCAGAGATAAATATTTTGAAATGTTCTAGTCACCTATATTAACAAACCTCCAATTAAAAGGATTGGCTAGAAAGCCCTGTCCCAAACTAAAGGCTCTTTTTCCATTGTAATAATTAGATCCCTTTGTCTTTTTCTTTTCCGGAATACGAAACAAAACTTAATTAAGCAAAAAGGGTAAAAATTAGACCCAGTGTTAATCAATCAACTTCTATTTTTCCAATTAATTACACAAATCCAGATTTCTTTCTTTTTCTTTTTTTTTACACCCAGAAATCCACCAATCCGCATTGCGGACACAATTTGAAAATGGGGACCCCAACTGAACCCTACAACGGGGACCCCAACTGAACCCTACAACCTTTGGGAGGCAGGAAATGCTAGCAAATAGCTAGGTAGGTAACTATCAACGAGGGGTTACTTGAAATGCTCAAGCCTATGGTTTGCTCCCATGTGGTCTGAGGTTCAAAACCCCCAAAGGCACCGATCCTCCCAAAGATTGTAGGGTTCGACCAGAGGCCCCATTTTCAAAGCCTTGTCCTCTTTGCGGATTGTAGGATTTCTGGGTATAAGAAAAATATTTTTAAAAAACAGCTACATTTATGCAGAAAATTATGCAAATTGCAGCAGCCATTGACCAGATGATATATGAAATGTTTGCAATAAGTCAAGAAATCAGATGAGCAATGGAACACAGCCTGTTGTTTGAACAATGTAAGTCAACCATATACAACCCTGTCATTTGAACAAGGAACACAGCCTAAGATTTAAGAAATTTTGCTCTCAAATTGGGCATCATAATTAGAAATATAAAACTTTTTGTCTATGTAAATATCAGTACATGTCACATTGAACAAAGAACCCTTCTTAAAAAACAATAACAGAATAAGACAACAAAAATTGTGAAGAATACCTCCAGGCTCTGCATGTTTCCCTGCATAACGGTAAAACATTGTAAAGCATTAGAAGCATAAAAACTAATTATTCTCATAATTAAATAGCACAATAGGAATGCGAGATATTTGAAAGGTTAAAATAATCAAATCACCTAAGGCCATTGCAACTGCATAAGGGTCTTTTGTAGATAGCTCAGATAGAATTTCCAAGGCATGCCTTACAGCAATAGGATCAGCAAATGAAATTCTGAAGGTAAACACAAACTTGTTAGACTTGGAGAATCAATTTCACAATACAAGGGCCAAATTTCTAAAAATACCCCAGTAATCATGAAGTAGCTAAGAAAATAAAATCAATGTTGCAAGTTGAAGGATAAGTAAAAACAGATTGAAAGCATAAAAGAGGACATGAGGAAAACAGAAATCATAAATAAAAAAGATAAAACTGGTGGATCGAAACAAAGTTCTTCCACCAAAACTTCAACTCATGCATAATGAAGATACATATATGACCACAAACACCAAAAAAAAAAAAAAAATGGAAATGGTGTATGTGTCACATGCACCTATATAAGGAAATTGATACAGAGAAATGTTCCAAGCAACAACTTTATGCAATCAAATGTTGACTACCAGAATGAAGGAAAACATACCCTTGAACAGCACGATATAGAAATGCAGGGTTTCCTGGATCCAACGGAAGTCTCCTCAAAGCACTTAGGGCGGCATATTGCAAGTTAGTCCTGAGGATGAACTGAAGTTGAAAAAAAAATTAAAAATATAAGTTATCAGCATAGCTGGAGAAATTCATGGACCATAAGCTAAAGAACAATAAAAATGCAGGTGCATAATAGAAGAATTTTCTTGGGAAACTTGGCAAGACAGAGAGGTAATAACTTGGCAAGATGCTCAGGACCAATTGGATTAGGGTTAGCCTGAAGCCCTGACACAAAAGCTTTCTTCCAACCCTCTAATCTCCTCTCCAGCTATTCCACCACCTGATCCCAGAAGCCCACTATCTTTGGGTTCCCAGCAAGCAGCATCCCAAATATTTCATTGGCCACCTCTCCCATCTTAGGTGTTGATCCCCACAATTGAGCACTTAGCTCTATTAATTTTCAGTCTTGAGATATCTTCCCCTGAAAGAAAAATTATGTTGTCGTCCACAAATTGCAGATGAGATTTTGCCACTACTCTTCTACTGACAAACTCTTCAAAGCTGCACTTCGCTTGCTCTATCCACCATTTTGCTTAGCTCATCTACTACCAAAGTGAATATGAAAGGTAATAGTGGATCTCCTTGTCTTAGACCCCTTGCAGGGCCAAATTTATCCCTAGGTCTGTTCATAACTATTTCAAACATCCACTTTCTCCAGACTTCCCCAAAGCCCTTTATCTTCTGAAACAAAATCCAAAAAGCACCAATCCACATGATGATAGGGCTTCACAAAGTCTATCTTAAACACCAGCCCATCTTTCTTCTTCTTCCTCACTTCCCCCACCACAGCATTTGCAATTAGAACAACATCCAGAATCTACCTTCCACAGACAAAAGCTCCTTTGCCGATTTTTAAAACCATGTACATAACTAAACAGAAAATTTACGAAAAACTTTACGCTAATAAGTGCTGGCAATGAGGGGTGTGTGTGTACTCTAGCTCATAAGAATTAAAAAAACACTAATGCCACACAAGTAGAGGAACCCACCATGAAATACAACTCCAAGCCTTTCAGCAGAAAAATTAATAACAAGAAAACTTGAGGAGATGTACTTTACCTCCTTATCGCCACCTTTAGTCCCAAACACACCTTTCTTGCGTTTTTGTGGGCCATCAGCAACCTAAAAATTAATATACATATAAACACAAGGATTTAAAAGATTAAAAAGTAAGAAGAATATCTTCATGAAACCAAGAACAAAAAAAACAGCATTACAGATAGCCATTATCTGTCTGATACTTATTCCAAGAGAGAGAGAGGAAAAAGATCAATATCTTGAATATTCTCTGAAGCAAAATATTGTATGTGTACTGAACAATATATGGTATTAATAGAAGTTAAATTCAATCTCAAGCCGTATTGGTCTGCCTTATCCACAGGCATTCATGACCAGAACTGTTTGCTTACAATGAACAAAAATACAAGCCCTAACAATCTGCTTTTGATATCCAAATCCACTAGTCAAACCATACAAGATGTTCAATGCCCACAACAACATTAAGAAATTTGGATTTGCCAAAGGCATAAAGACAGGCAAATATGTTAGTAGCCATAACAACAGAGCTTCATAAAGCTTAGAGTTCCCTCTGACATCTGATCCTTTTGTTTGGCTATATATGGTTGGCTGGCCAATGTTACTCGACACCAAAATTAGTCTTCTACTATCAAGAACAAAATTCTACAGATGATTCAGACATACATAATACCCCTATGGCAAGAAACAAATGAGTTTATGTGAAAGAACCGAAAGTGATACCTTATCAAGAATGCCAAACACAATTTCGTACAATTTGGACAATATTTCAGAATTGGTCGAAGGAGCATATGTAAGAGCCTTTAAAGCTTGCAGTCTTCGGGCATGAACTTCAAAAAAAAAAATAATAATAATAATAACATTAATAAAAAAGAACCCATATATCCACTTTTAAAAACACACCCATGGCTAATTTTAACGACAAGGACATATTAAGAAATAATGAAATTACTTTTTTCCTGTTTAAGAATATGTTCCCTAATTCTCTCCCCAAATCCCACAATGTGTTGGAATACAGAACTTTGTGCAGTGAGTTCTCATAATAGACAACATTCCACTCTAAACTACACCAACAATGGAGCAACCATGAGATGCAGTGATAAAAAGAAGCTCAAAACATTATTAAAATACACGCAAAATCTAAAAAAATACTCTACATTCTGCTTCAGCATTTGATGCCTCTGTTGTTAGCTGATTTACTATTCTCGGTACAACATCAGCTCTCGTCACCCCTCCAACAGCATCAATGTCAGCTAAAGCATCCCAGTTTGGAGTTGGGATCCCACCACCAGTGCTCACACCTTGTGCACCAGTATCTGATAAAATTCTGGCCAAGTAATAATAGACATATCGCAGAACACTCCTATCCTCACACTGCTGATTGAGCTGCATCGTGAATGAACACTTATAAAAAAACATTGCTTTAAAACATACGATTGATTTATCAGTTATTAAATTCAATGTATATTGATTTTTTGGTGGATTTATTGTTCACCGATTGTGCATATTGGTTTTTCGAAAAAAAATTGTTGTTAAGAGATATGCAGGACTCATGGTAATAAATTGTGAATTCATATTTTCCATTCTTCAGTAAACTCCAACCCAGTCCATCAAGTTCCATGTGCCTAACTTTAGCTATAGGGGACATGTCGTCCTCCCAGTACCACCTCATAAACCTTACATGATAGTTAAGGTCCTTTCAGACATATGGAACTGGCCTAACAATGTGGGGCTATTGAACTGGTGCTAAATAATTTATGTCTATGCCAAGTGCACAACAGAAGGAGGATAGAAGGACATATCTCATATCTACTTTGGCACTTGTGACTAGAGGCATCGCATTGTCATTAAAAAAAGAGCATGGCATAATGTGGAACTAGGGGAAGGGAAAAAACAAAGCAAACGAACAATTTACAGATTTTCATATAATCACATTGGCTTATGTGTAACTGCATCCCAGCAATAAGCTAAATACGTGCATATATCGGAGCTTGGACAAGCTAGAATAATTAAAAGAACAATTGCAAACCCAATTTAATATCATATGAAGGACATTATATGCAAATAACATGTGAATGAGAGAAATATACCATGAGAAGGGATGGTGCAACCGAAGGGTCAACAGAATTGTACACCGCAAGCTTGGGAAAGACGTGATTCACTAACTGCTTCTGGGAACTTTTCTATTCACAATGAAGAAAAATGGAAAACAAACAAAACTTGAGTTTTCGAATAAATAAAAACGAAAGAAAAATCTACAAAAATAGGTGAGCAATGGTTACCTGATCGGATGCAGCAGCTAATTCGTGAATACTCCTCGCAAGTTGTGCATATGAAACAGGCTGCAATTGCAATTAATACCAAATGCTAAACAGATGAGAACTGAGAGACAATTCTAGAACATATGAAGAAAAAGGATAAGCGAAGAAGAGGTTTCGGGTTTGGACCTTCTTCTGCTTCTGCTTGTGCTTCTGAGGCAAGATGTTGATGTTGGTGCGTACGGGATGCAACGCAGCTTTAGCGGCAGAGATGGTGTCGTTTTGGATCTGCATCAGCGCAGCCCTCTTCGACCTTTTCTCTCCAGCTGGCTTCCCCAAAGCCGTCGGAAGACCACCGGAGCTGCTTTTTGGCGGCGAAGCTGCATAACCAGAAGACTTAGCCGGCTGGGTCGACGCGTGGGGTCGGCGCCGAAGCCGACGTCGTTGTGGAGGCGGAGGCCGACGCTGTGGATGGGTCCGCCGTTATCAGATCCATCAGCGTCGTCCCTGACGAGTCCTGAAGAAAAAACACCATAAATTCTCAAATTGGCAACAAAAAAAGAAAGAGGAAAATGCGGGAGTGAGAGGGCATCTCGTGATCAGGTGCTTTACCGCCATGGCTAAGCTGATTTTGCAATCACGGAGAGAGAGTGAGAAGTACTTGCTGTTCCACTAGGCTGAGATGACAGAGAGAGAAGGGAACTGGGGAAGAACGTTGTTTTGAGACCTTTTGACTATGCTGAGATGACAGAGAGAGAAAGGCCAGTGATCGGAGATGATGAGAGAGAGAGAGAGAGCCGATGTAAATCTGGCGGGCCAACGAAGGGAGACTGGAAGGGGAAAGCTGGTAGATGCCGGGGACGTAACCAATTTTGTTTCTTTTTTTTTTTAAATTTTAAACCTATTTTTTACAGAAATTTGGGTGAAGTTCGAAAATTTAAGAGTTGAGAGAGATGGGCTATTTCTATATAGTTCGTATCCTCAGGAACAAATAATTTGGGAGTTAATTCTCAATTGGATGATAATTTATGGGGCAAAATGGCAGTTTACTGCTTTTTCTTTTTGATTGGCAGTTTACTGAATCTTGTAAGCCATATCTCCTATCTTGTAAGCCTGTAATTCAGTAAACTGCTTATATATCTCCTATCTTGTAATTCAGTAAACTGCCTACATCAAAGAATAAACAAATATTGAATGTATAAAAATAATGGTATGAATTAAATGTAATGAATTTATGAACATATATGAATTTGAAAAATACTTCAAAAAACTTTTATTAACATAAGTATAGGCTCAGTGAGAATGCTTACAAAAGATAGCTTTCTAATTCACGCTCATACTTAGCTGTTCTCCAGATAGGATGTCTGAAAGAACAATTTGAAACTAGAAAACTAAATTTTACATTCTGA